GTCTCTTTTCTTTCTCTAGCAACTGTGGAGTATTATAACCCCAGAACAAATGAATGGAATTATGTCGCCAAAATGAACGAGCCGCATTATGGACACGCAGGCACTGTTTACGGAGGATACATGTACATTTCAGGTACCTGTCACACATCTGTATGTTTGTTTGTTATGTATGTGGGTACTTATCAAATTTTCATTTTTGGGTGATCTATCCCTTTAAGATGTCCGCATCAAAAGAAATGTACAAAAGTGATTTTATGTCCATAGAAGCACATTAAATGTAAGTAAAGTGTCTACTTTTAAGGTTCCAAATAAGGTTTTGGAGGATACAATGTTACAATTTGGTTGAAATAATGTTACATTGTCATTCAGTGTGTAACACAATATTTATGTACAAATTCAAACATGCTTATTCTGACCTGTACATATTAAAATATATAAAAGAATAAGGGAGAATATTAAATTTGATTGCGTTTTAAATGAGTAAAAAGTTCTTACTGACAAATGGGCAAAACCTAGGAGGGTGGCACAATTAAAAAATGTAAAATTACAACTAATTAGTATTTGGGGTGAAAGTAATTAGTCTTTTAATGTGTCATAAATTGATTTTTGTTGTAAATATGCCTGACAAGATTGTTACACTGAATATTTTAGTGGGTCTCTTCTGTAAATCAGGGGAAAATGTATATTTATTTTTTTGCTCAGAAAAACAAAAACAAAATTGCAATTAAACAGAAAATTAAAAAAAAACAATTGAAAGCAGTATTACTTATTGTTTTATGCTTGAACCCTTTTTTGTCTTTGACCCATATATATTTGAAATATAAAGTTTATATATATATTCTTTTCTACAATTTTATTCTTTTCTTTTATTGCATTTTTTTTTATTTCTTATGAACCTTTTTTTAAATAATTTTTCTTCACAGCACAGCATTTATAAAACACAGTTCATACAAACCTGCCTTCATTTACTCCAGTATCATCACACTTGGATCATTTAGAGATTAAATGAAAACTACAACTCCGCACAAACAAAATGTAAAACTATAAAAATATTAGTTTTTCCAATGACTTTATACTCTTGATCTTACATTAATGCAGCCACAGGTAACTCACACACACACTGATCAAATATTAAACTCTGCACATACTGTGAATCGCGTCTGTCATATGAATAAACATAAATAAACTTTAGCGTCCGTCACGACAAATTTAAGAGCTCAGCCGGTGTCTGAAAGTGTGCAGTGATTGAGAGAAACCACACCGACAGCAACAAAGAACCAATGCATTTGAACAGAACAGGTCTTTTATTGTACAGAGGCAGCATTCCCGTGAGCTTCCGATCTATTTGGGTCCCAGCATGTCCTGCGGTCGCACCCACTGCTCAAACTGCTCCTCCGTCAGGAATCCCAGCTTCACGGCCGTGGCTTTCAGAGTCCAGCCCTCTTTGTGCGCCGTCTTTGCAATAGTGGCGGCTTTATCATAACCTGAAAGAGAGCGAGAGACGACTGACGACATCCAGAGTGTCTTCTGTGCAGGAATGATAATATTGCACCAGGTCTGTAAATTACTGAACAGATATTTAGTTTCTAGCGCCCTCTGCTGTGGTTACCTATGTGAGGGTTCAGCGCCGTGACCAGCATCAGAGACTCGTTCATCAGTTTGTTGATTCTCTCTGTATTGGCCTCGATTCCAGACACACAGTTATTAGTGAATGAAACCGAAGCGTCGCCCAGCAGCCGGGCAGAGTTCAGCACGTTTTTAATCTGGAGAAGAGAAACGAAACATTTAAACCCTTAACACAACTCATCTGATGCCTTATATACAGTATAACTTATATGTGACCCTGCAGCACAAAAGCAGTGTTAAGTCACTGGGGTATATTTGTAGCAATAGCCAGCAATACATTGTATGGGTCAAAATTATCCATTTTTCTTTTATGCCAAAAATCATTAGGATATTAAGTAAAGATCATGTTCCATGAAGATATTTTGTAAATTTCATACTGTAAATATATCAAAACTTAATTTTTGATTAGTAATATGCATTGCTAAGAACTTCATTTGAACAACTTTAAAGATGATTTTCTCAATATTTAGATTTTTTTGCACCCTCAGATTCCAGATTTTCAAATAGTTGTATCTCGGCCAAATATTGTCCTATCCTAACAAACCATACATCAATGGAAAGATTATTTATTCAGCTTTCAGATGATGCATAAATCTCAATTTTGAAAAATTGACACTTATGACTGGTTTTATGCTCCAGGGTCACATATTGCCTCCATCAGGCCTGGGATATTTGCAGTGGTTTTGCTTGTGATATCAAATTAAGAGACACTGTGAACACTGTATTTCACAATAGTCTCATCATTCGTCTCTGGTTTGATTGATGAGAACGAGGCCGTTAAGACGGATGCTTTAATAGCATCTCTGATGCAAACTTCAACAAACTTCCAAGAGTTGGAATGAATCATTCAATAAATCTTTGCATACATTACAGTTTGGGGTCAGTATTTAAAAAAAAAATGTATTAATACTTTTATTCAGCATTAAATTGATCAAAACTGACAGTAACGTTTACACTACTTTTTGACATTTACACAAATGTTTGGAATAATTAGGATTTGTAAAAAGTTTTTGACATCACCAAGGCTGCATTTATTTGCTCAAAAATACAGAAAATTTGTGAAATATTATTTAAATTGTTTTCTATTTCAATACATTTTAAAATGTAATTTATTCCTGTGATGCAAAGCTGAATTTTCAGCATCATTACTCCACTTATAAAAGTCTTTAGTCACTTTTGATCAATTTATTGCATCCTTGCTGAATAAAAGTATAAATTTTTTTTTTTTATCTTACAGACCACAAACTGTTCAATGGTAGTGTATCAGAGGTTTCCACAAAATATTGTGCAGCACGACTGTTTTCAACATTGATAATAATCAGAAATGTTTCTTAAGCAGCAAATCAGCATATTATACTGATTTCTGAAGATCACGTGACACTGAAGACTGGAGTAATGATGCTGAAAATACAGCTGCGCATCACAGAAATACATTACAGTTTAACAGAGATTCACATAGAAAACTGCTTTTTTACATTGTAAAAATATTTAACAATTTTACTGTTTTGATGAAATAAATGCAGGTTTGGTGAGCAGAAGAGACTCTTTCAGAAACATTAACAAATCTTAATGATTCTAAAATGTTTGAACTCTTTCTGGAAGTCTTTGCATGAAAAATTAATCATTTTGATGCTTGTTTTTCCCCAGGGAATGCATGAACTGATTAAATGTATATCTTCAAAGCAATGTGCGCCGCTTTGCACAAGATGGAAAGTTGGAAAGGCGACTCACGATCATCGGCTTGAACACATTGAGCTCAAAGTGTCCGTTGCTTCCTCCGACAGTAACAGCCACGTGGTTTCCCATCACCTGAGCTGCTACCATAGTCATGGCCTCACACTGCGTGGGGTTCACCTTCCCTGAGACACACACACACACACTTGAGAATAACACACACACTTCTGTGGTTCTACAGGCACTCTAAAGCACTGAGCAGATCTTTAATGCTGTGTGAGTGAGTGTGTGTGTGTGTGTGTGTGAGAGAGTGTGTGTGTAGAGTGAGTGTGTGTGCGAGAGTGTGTGTGTGTGTGTGTGTGTGTGTGTGTGTGTGTGTGGTGTGTGTGTGTGTGTGTGTGTGTGTGTGTGTGTGTGTGTGTGTGTGTGTGTGTGTGTGTTGTGTGTGTG